AACTAAAACAATGCGTTATTTACCAACAGTGTTTGTTTACAGTTATTTCCCCACACCTGGAAACTGATTTATGTATAAATAAAATATTGCAGCCTTCATACAGCTCATCTGTTCTTCTGCTCCTCTGCTTTAGGGACATTGGCGTGATGGTGAAACTTTATCCCAACATGACTCCTGTCCTGCTGCACAACTCCCAGCTGGACCACAAACGGGTTTGTGAATTTGTCTGCGTAAAATGGTTTTCCTTTTGAGTCTGATGGTAGGATTTCTACTTAAGTGACTTCCTTTATTTTCCTTTTAGATCAAACATCCGAGTGCTTTGGGTTTAGAGGTGGGACAGGAGATACAGGTGCGTCTCGCTTACTGCAGACAAGGCATTGCGTATTTCAGTCTGGGATGCTTGTATCTGAACTGTGTTCTGCTAACAGGTCAAGTATTTTGGACGGGACCCAACAGATGGCAGAATGAGGCTTTCGCGAAAGGTGCTCCAGTCTACCGCTGCAAGCGTCGTAAAGAGACTGAATGACAAACAGAGCATCTCCATGGGTTCAAGCGACATGCAGACGACCAGTACAGATTCGTGACACTCCCCCATGACTGCCTAACTTCTGGCTTTTCTGTCAGAGTAGACTTGGACTGAGTCAACTTTTCCTTTTCAAACAACAGATCTTGTTATGAACTATACATAAAGAACCAGTCATTCCTAAAGACTTCCCTTTCACCATCAGGGTCACTGCTGAGGTGTTAGAGTCAAATGGTGAGTGTGGGGAAGCAATTTTATAAGTCGTAATATAAAAAGTCCCAAATCCATTAAAGCTTCTGCTGCCCTGGCCCTGTCTGACATCCCCTGGCATGGACCAGTGGGTGAGAAATATGCACATTGTTTTATTGTTCTGAAATGGTGGTTTTCACTTCACTTTCAGTTCCTGGGACATTATTGTTATTATTGTTTATCTCCACCTTGGAGCTACTTATGTTATTGTGTGTGTGTGCAGGTGCTGTGCGTGTGGGTCTGGTAAATGGAGAGTTGCTGGTCAACCCCACGAGGGCAGAGATGGCTTCTAGCAGTCTTAACCTGATAGTGGCTGGAGCTCCCAGCAGTCAAGTGGGTAAGTTAATAATTGTATGTGATAAGCAGCAGAATATCTAGTGTTTATAGCGGCATGTAGTTAAACTGCTAAGTTTAGAATCACTTTGCTGAGGAGATAGTGCCTGCAGAAGTATTGACTTCCTGTATTTATAGACTTACCTTTATGTAAATTGTCTTTTATTGTTACTCCTTTATGGGAATTTATTCATAATGGCATTTTGTGTTCTAAATTTGACAATTTCTGCTCAACTTTACCTTGGACTTTTTAAAAAATCTTTTTGTGGCCTGGATGTGTGGCTTTCTGTAATAATTCAGTTTCTGAGAATCCTACATTTTCCTGACTCCTGCTTCTCAGGCCTGTCTTAGACAGCATCACATACTCACGTTTCTCTGTGTCTGCCAGTGATGATTGAGGCATCAGCTGAAAACGTGCTGCAGCAGGACTTCTGCCACGCTGTGAAGGTGGGAGTCAAACACAC